TACTTTTTAAATTTTGAACGATGTGATTTTCTTTTGTGCATTTCGTATCCGTACAACACAAAATGTGGAAAATGGAGGCCTGTCTTTGAGTTTGGCCACAGTTTTTCTCCGATCTATCACCTCTTCTAGTCCCAGTACATTCAAAATTTTCACGCGATCACTATTTTTCTTATGAAAATAGTGAAAATGAATAGTTCTGTCTGCATCTTTTCGGGAATGGCATTCGTATACACAGCAGTTTGTGTTGTGCTGGGACTTTGAGACAGATGCTATCGAATTTCTGTAATAAGCACCTCACAGAATCACAATCTAAGCTTTCCCTTGATTATTTCCCACTTTTTGACACAAAACACGTCGTAATTTAAATTAGGAACGAACAGAAAACATCGAAAAAGCAAGAAAATATTCCAATACGGTATATGTAAACAAACGATCTATCACTCGTTAAGTTAGTTCCAAATATTTCCGCCAGGTGCCGCATTGATTTTTGAAATCGCCAATAGTTCATTAAATCAACGCGAGATGTCAATGCTGTCGCCCCTACAGTGTGCCCCTACTTGACAGTAACAAAAAAAATAGAAATCTTTTTTTGGTTAAATTGTTTGATGGAACGTTTTTTCTTATTTTTTGCGGAAATTCGGAGTATTATTCTGTTTTACATAAACAGGGTTGTAATTTGGACCAACACAAATAATTTTGAACGTTCATCCGTCGGATTTTTTTTCAAGAGGGGCGTTTAAATAAAATGTCATTTACAGACCTTCACAAATTTCTGTTCTATTCCAAAGGACCACGCACGGATCTTATGAGAAAAAATAAATTTCACGATTGTCATGAAATTGAAATATGTCATGATCCTCGACCTCCTGAACGTAAGTTCTCGTAGGCCCAAAAAGATCCTATGATTAGTTTATGAGATACAGGGCCGGGTTAACATACATAATTTTGACAAAAAATGCACATTTCAAAATATGTTGAGTTCAGGCAATGACATTTTCTAGGTTAAAAACAGCTAGAAAAATGCCAAAGTGGTGTCGTCTGAAGCTTTGAATTTTGAACTTGTCGAAAAATGCCAAAAATATGTCATTTTTGGTTATGAATTAAATTAATGTACCAGCAGGTTCTGGAGATTTTTCTTGTACTACTTTTTTTTATCGGTCCTCTATCTCCAAAACTAATCATAGGATCTTTTTGGGCCTACGAGAACTTATATTCAGGAAGTCGAGAAGCATAACACATTTCAATCTCATGACAATCGTGAAATTTATTTTTTCTCATAAGATCCGTGCATGGTCCAGTAAAATGAAGTTATGTTCATAACAATAATAGATTGGAGTAAGAGTCGACGCATTTTTGGTTGCAAATTACCCAGTCTAAATAGTAAAATTATTAATAATTTTGTTGACAACAATATGCAAATTTTGGTCATGGATTCAAATGAAAAAGGGACGAATACCTAGAGTAGCACACCAACAATAAATTTCCACAATTTCGGATCGTAAAATGCTGGAATAAATGAAAACTACAGAATTGCCGAAAATTTATGATGTTTTTATTCCAAAATTAATCAAAATCTGTCAAAAAAGGAGGTGATTGCTATCATTTTCAGCAGAGACTCAAACCAAACGTGTGTTCAGCGCTTCTCTTAAAGATGTCGCTGAGTTCGGAAAGGGTAGTCACTTCTTCCAAACGCCTGTAAAAACTGTTTTACCTAGCTAATAATGTGAAATACTATTATTTCATTTGCATCTGGATAAAATTATTTAGTTTACTGTATATTACTGTGTAAACGAATTGAAAAGTCAATCATGTTACGTTAAAATTTTGCCTTAACGTAATTGAGAATTTCGAATAAATTCAGTAATTAATTCAGTTATTTGTGAGGGTATTTATAAAGCTGTTTACCTGAGGATTAATGTTTTTCAGTGATTGATAGTTTGCTCATTGAATTTTGCTAGATTTTTACCTTTTTGTTTGGATGCGAAACAATATCTGGTTGTTGATTAAAAGTATATTTTTCAAGGTAATAATGAGTGAATTCTTTGTATTTGGAGGACCGGGTAGTTTTAGGATAATAAAGCCCTACTGTTAGGATAGGAATCCACTTTATTTAGCTTTCGAAAGTTTTCTAAAAGGCCCTAAATGTCGGTGAAAAGGTTTGTTTACTTTCAAATAAATATCAATTGTCAACACTTACGAATCTCGTATTTTCCATTATTAAAAATTCTGCAACAACACAAATCACTTTAGCACACTTTAAATCGATTTTCCACTCTTATTTCATTATTTTTCCATTCTCAAGTGTTTATTTTCCTCAAAAATATTGTGGGGTTATAAGCCACTTGTGGATTCGTTTCGGGCAGCACCGTTGCCGGCGTACTTGAACGCTGTGGGTAAGATAGAGTCACTGTAACTGTGATCCCTAAACATTCACCGGTCTTTTTGATGGTCTTTAGACTGAAGACTAAGTAGATGCTGATTAATAACTTGTATAAGTGATTAATTAGTGTTAATTGGTGTTAGGGGAGAGAATTTGATAACAACTTTGAGTTTTGTTGGTCATCATTGTGGTTTGGAGTGTTCTGTTTCAAGCTGATTGTGTTCCGATTCAAACTGGGTGTTCCGTCTTCCTGGTCGAGATCGGAAATCTGGCACCAGAGGACATCTTAAAGGAAAAGACTGGAATTCTAGAAAAATTTTCATATTGAAGCCTACCTAATAAATCGCTGAAAAGGGATCGTTCTCTTTTAAATTCGCACGTTGAGCAAACAACAAGTCTTGGCAGATTTTACCAGCGGTCCTCTTGGCAACGTTCCTTGGGAACATCCACCTTTTTGTGGGATTTTGAAGACGCTGGGATTTAGTGGTTGCTGGCTTAATTGGTTTTGGGGTGAAAGCTTTGGATTTGGTCGTACCCGTATTTGTAAGCCAACCAAACAGAATTTTCTGGAAACGAAATCTACGCCATTTTGTTGGTTTGTCGTGTGAAGCACTAGAGCACATTTGTTCAACTAGCCCGAATTGTAACCAGGTAATTTTGAACGTTTTTACTATTCTCAAATTTACCTTTTCGTTATCAATATTTAGATTAACTTATCTGTATTTTTGTAAATATTTGAGATTCAATAAAAAAGGCAATTTGACCTCCACGAGGCCATGTGCAGACTCATTAATCGTTTAAGGGGCATTAATGGGCTTATTAATTAAGGGGTTTTTTTGTTTAAAATAACCTACAGGTTTCAGGGGATTTTGCTATTTAATTCCAATCATTTATATACTATTTGAGGGTTGGGATTTTTCATTTTTTTTATAAGTATGAAGGAGTTCTAAGGCTTTTGTACTCTTTCAGGGTTTTTTTAGGATTATTTTAGAATCTTTACCATTGGGTTTTCCTCTTGACGGTTTACTAGTCTTGAAGTTGAGGTGTCAAGAGTACCCACAACACTGAATTGAGACCGAAATTCACATTTTAAGAAGGAAGTCAATAGAAGTTGATGGGGCCTGTTTTGCAGGTTGTAAGGCTGTCAGGAGACAGTTATAGAAATGGGTGTTTAGACTGCAGGGAGGACCAAACGGGGTGATGTACCCGTTGATTTATAACATTTCTTAAATTATCTTATTATTATTATTGATGGTATTTCTGATACTTAATTGGTATATTTCCAAGGTTGTTTTACTGCCTTATTTATTACAAGGGTGTACAGTGCCAATAAATTTTAATGTACTATATTTAAGGTGACATTTTTGTACAAACCCGCCCCGGTATACCATGGTATAAGCGTGCACAGGTTTTAATTATTATTATCAACATCTTTAATAACTATTTATTCTCTTTTACTCTCATGGAACTAAGGTAGTCAAAACTTTCATTTTATTGGTAAATCTTAAAGTTATTGCAGTGTCTTAAATAAGGCCACATTGGTCCTGACTACATTTTGGTTATTCTGACATTTACTATTAATAATAATAGATATTGTGGTATTTTACATATTGCCTTATATTGGCCTTGCAGTTTTGAACATATACCCCCCATTTTATTAAATAGATTTATTATCATTGTTTTTAGATTTGACGCTTATTTTATACCTACTGACATCAACCAAACCAAGATAAAATTGTTTTATTTTGAAGGATAGGTACATTGGGTAGGTACATTTTTATAGGAATTTTGGAGATCAGGGACTTTCTGGTTTAAGTCCGCGGATTGTTTTTATGAACCAGTGGCGCCCTATTAAGCTAACTTTTAATATTGAACCTACTCCCACACCACTGAGTAGCCGCGAGCACTTTGTTGCGCTGGCCGCATTCCTTAAGAGTGTCTTACTGTACCTAGGCCTATTGTGGTTTATTAATTTAAATTTAGTATTCAAACAGTTTAAGGGTAATTTTAGGCGCAACAATCACTTACAGAGAATTTGCACACCTGTGATTAAAAAATATTTAATGTATGTCATAAAGCTCAAAAGATGGCACGCTGGCTCTTATCTAACGCCGCTCTTAAACAGTGTAGCTACAGGCGTATTTCCAACTATTTTTGGAGTAGCGAGAAAACTACACATTCAAAAAATTTGAAAAAAATATATATCACGTAGAATTGCAATAGTAGTTCGTAATAAAAATAACGGGAAACTTCATCCATTCGTTCTAAAATAAATGGTGAAAAACCACTTTTTTCTGAGTTTTTGCGATATAACTCAAAAATGGTGAGTCAAATTTGCTTCAAAAAATTATAGATTAAAGTATATCAATAACCATGAAACATGTATTTTTTTTGGAATTTTTAAACGCAAGGTTCAGAAAATAGGGGTTGATTTTAAACCTTAAAGTAAATAATAATTGCCAAAACTATTTTTCCGAAAATTTCCCTTTTTCACTTTTGAATCCCTGTAATCTATGGCCCTCTTTTTGGGATTTTCACATTGAGATAACTATAATTCGAGCCTATAAAACGAGTTTATGTATAATGTTACGTATGCGGGTTTGGTGATAAGTGAGACTACTTTTCCAAACGCAAATAAATTTTATTCAAGACAGTAACACAAACATGACAAAATTAGTACTTCTTACTACAACACGCAAAACTACAAACATCAGTAGCTGTATTGCTGTGAAACTAAAAAAATTACCCATTTTATCTGATTGATCCAAAAAGTCTATTTTTTATGATGAAAAAAAGGAAAAATTCCCTAAAACATGTCGACTTTTTGCTACTCACTGATCGATTAATACAAAAAAGTATGCTGTTTTGTAAGGAAAATAGCTAAATTGCTCTCTGTTGTAAAAATTGTGTAACTTTATATATAACCAATTCTAAAATAAACGCGAAAAGTGCAACAAGATATCCACTAAGTAACATTAAAAGTATTGGTTCCATTTGTTCCATTGTTACTTTATAAATCCTAGAACTAGATTCAACATAATATTGCAAAGCATAAGAAAATTCATATAATTTCAAAAACTTCGTAACGATTCCATGTTCGATCATCTGGTTAAACCATTCATAGAACTCTTTATGCATGTAATAATTCTTGGGCATTCCTGCGGGATGAGGATAAGGTAAAAATTCAATAGTACTAAAAGTACTTTGAAGGTTTGGTCTCATAATTAGAAAACCTGAAATGGAAAAGACGCGCGAACATTTTACATATTAGTGCTGAATAAGTTAATGACTAATGAGTCTAAATTCGAACAAAAATTAATAATTATTATTATTAAAACATAAACTCAAAATCTCGACATACAAACCACGAACCTTGATAAGTAGTTCCAGCAATATTCCGGTCTCTTGAAATTTTATTCATACTTTCGAACCAAGTTTCTCCAGCCCAATCGGTGGACTCTATACGCCTATCATAAATTTCCTGATAATATTCCAATCCCTTATTATCATATCCAAAATAGAAAGCAAGGGTTGGAATTAACTTTATGGCGATATTTTTTTCTAATAGCTCCTCAATACTTTTTATTGGTTGTTCGTAACTTGGCCCATTTATCAAACTTATTATTCTTCCTTGTAAATATATGTTCAATATCATTGACGAAAACATGAGGCAAACTAAAAATTAATAAATATACGTATTTAGTGTTTGAACTCTTCATAAAATTTATCTATCTCATTTTGTTAATTTTTCGTTTCTCTCATAATTGGAAATAATTTAAAACATTAAGCTAAATAATGATAAGAATTATGATATACCGCCATCCCCACTTTTCTTACAATGCGTCACAAATTCAGGCCGAGTTTCAATGCATAGAATACGGCGTATACGGTGCAGAGACCATGCATAATGACTATTTATTGAAATAATATCAAATTATTTTGTGTTTCCTGTTAGATAGATATCCAAAAATTCTTTAATAAAGTAGATAAGGTTAAAAAAACAATATTTACTTGTACGGTTTAGGTTGAAAAACAACTTCAAAAAATGCCGAAAGGGTGTTGCGTAATACCAGGCTGCAATAGCAATTATAAAAGCACTGAAGAAAAAGTATCAATGTATTCTTTTCCAAAGGAAGGAAGTAGAGCCAAGTTTTGGTTACGGAAAATAAACCGAGACAACTACGAAGTGACGAAATACTCATTTGTTTGTAAAAAACCTTTTGAAATGCGATTGATAATAATGACTTTTTCCACATTTTCTTTCAAAACACCCAATACACACTGGCATTGACAAGCAAGCAAATGTTGGCGGGAAAATGATTGTTTTCATAGTTATTGTCCATCTCTTTTAATTGAAAACGTCAATTGAAAATGTTGGTGATTGTGGAAAATCGACTTTGGACCATTCTAAACAAGCTCTTCATACATTTGCTCCGTAATAACTACAGAAATGTCCAAAACGATCAGATTTCTATTAAAGGTGGAGAAGAAAGTTAATACACTCTCTAAAAAAATGGCATCTAAATCGAAGACCGGGGAAACAACGAACGACAGGCGGTCAAAAACTGAAACAGAACCAAATAAAACTGAAAAAAAAAGAGCCAACAAAAGTAAAAAAGATGTCTAGCACTAAGTGAATATTTATTTAGAATAGGTACCAACTAAAATTGTTTGCTTTGTTTCAGAATTTAATTTTTGTTGTATTATTATTCAAGAATTTTACGTTACGTTTTTTTATTCATATTCAATTATATTCATTAAAAATTTGATATTTCATTTAATCTTATCCTTTTATCTAACTACAATACTTAAAAATCCACACAATTACCCAAAAATATTAAAAAATACTTGCATACGCAACTATACAACAGTGTACTAGCCGGCCTTGGATTGTGACGTCATAGCTCTAGGCTGCCGGCCTGATTGATATCCCGAGCGCCTCGGATATACACTCGCCGCGCCGCACAGTGATGCGGATTTGAATTCTAGCGGGACAAAACCTCAGTAGCATTTTTTTTAGACTTCAATATCAAAAAATAGTATCCATATCAAAGTCTAAAGATCCTCGAACAAGTCCGCTCACTCTCGCTCGTCGCCTAAAATTTCCCTCCTGCTGACGCGCTACTTCTAGCCTATGGTTTCCCTGCTCAAGAGGACCCTCGTCTATGCCTTCAGTTACCGGGTGGCTTGCATCGCGTTCTATATCGGGTGCGCCAAGCAAAAAGTGTAATAAATTTTATTCGAAATTTTTGCGATTTGATAAAATTAAAACGCAATCATATATTTTTTAAGGTGTCAGCAATGGAAAGACATTTTAGGCTTTGTTGCAGAACATAGATAAGCACACAAAATTAACACTCGAAGCGGCTAACAGAATTGTCAGAATATGTTCTACACACTTTAATGAAAACTCATTCACTTTGTCCGAAAATAGTTATTCACCTAACAAGTGCGGAAACTTATACTTTTCTGCACGCAGCGGCAAGCCGTTAGTGCGGAAAAGATACTTTACGCTCGTGTTAGGTACAATATTTCTCCTACGAGCGTGCGGAAATTGACATATTGTTTTTTTATTTGTTTTTGGATCTACTAATCCTAAAAGAAATGGTCAAAAATTTGATTTTTTAGGAATTAGAAGAAGTATAGAATTTTCAAAACGTATGTCGCTTCTTGAACACACAAATGAAAATAATTTCCTATTTTTACATGAAATCGATTGCTAATACGTCAATTATTGACGTATTAGCGATCGAAGTTCGTTTTTCTTGGTAATATTTTATTTCATCTAATTCGTGATTGATAAATAAGGATGGAATTATTCTAATGGGTATCAAAAATACTATTTAATTAATTATTTATTATTTACCTAACAAATGCGGAAAATGATACTTTATCGCACGCAAGCGCAGTTTGGTCAAGCCGTTAAGGGTGGTGAAGGCACTTTCCGCATGTGTTAGGCACAACATTTTACCTATGACCATCTACATCTCCAAGAAAAGGCAGTAATAAAATTAATTAACGATTCAGATTAATTAATGAAATTAGATTAAATTTAAAAATTATCAAAAATCCCTTTCCTAGAAGAGAAGGGATTTTTGATTAAAAATATCAAAATCTACTTCACCGCACTCTATGCGGTAAAGTAACTTTACCTACGAGCGTACGGTAAAGTGCACTTTACCGCACTTATTTGCAAATGGAAAGTGGCACTTTACCGCACACTATGCGGTGAAGTTACTTTACCGCATAGTGTGCGGTAAAGTTACCTTTACAGCATAGTATGCGGTAAAATGAACTGAAAAGTGTGCGGTAAAGTTAACTTTACCGTATAGTATGCGGCAAAGTAGACTTTGGTATTTATGATTAAAAATCCTTTCTTTTTCAGGAAATGGATTTTTGATCATTTCTAAAATCTAATCTAATTTCATTAAGTAATCTGATTCATTAATTAATTTTATTAATGCCATTTTTTGGAGATGTAGATGCTCATAGGTAAAATTTTGTACCTAACATATGCGGAAAGTGCCTTTACCGCCCTTAACGGCTTGACCGAACTCCGCTTCGCGTCGTTCGGTCAACTGCCATTGCGTGCGGTAAAGTATCACTTTCCGCATTTGTTAGGTAAATAACTATTATCTCACACTTTGCAGTCTACTTTACCACACACTATGCGGTGAAGTTAACTTTACCGTACACTATATGGTAAAGTAACTCAACCGCATAGTGTGCGGTAAAGTGCTACTTTCTATTTGCGAATCGGTGCGGTAAAGTGCACTTTCCACATGTCCGTAGGTAAAACTCATTGAAGATGTCGATATTGGTCAGTACAAAAAGTTAATATCTTTCTTGAAGAGAAAGAACGGAGGAACGTAATTTCGAAAAAAAAAAAATTCTCAGAAGCATGACATAAGGAGAAAAATTGAAAAAAAAATCTGTGTGGAAAAACTTTTCTCGCGCACGCCGGTCTGTTTTTTTTTTTTTTTTTCACGCACACTGTGCGAAAAAGTGATACTTTCCGCACGCAAATCGGTGCTTGAAAACTCGTTTTCTGCACGCTTGTAGGAAAACCTTCATTAAAAACTGCTATTCCATCAAAGTTACTACCAGAACGTGATTTTAAGCAACACTTACCGCTGATTTTATAATATGAAATTAATTGAGTAACAATAATTATTAGGATTATCCGTCAATTAATTTAATGCTAATCGCTAAGCAGAAAAAGTTTTTCCATAATTTTTTAAAACCAAAAAATTATTAACGTAAATATTCTTAAAAGACATTCTTTTTCAAACTCCCCCTGTAAAAACATTACCAAGTACAATCGGGACCAGCGCCCTCGTATTTGCTTCTTATCTACAAATCGGCGCGTGCTGACATGATTTACGACCTTCCGCAAAAAAAGCCGGCTTTTTGAGGAGATCAAAGGAGTGACCGGACTTGTTCGAGGATCTTTAGACTTTGTCCATATGTATTTTTGTAGCTTGCTTTGTTTTTTAGCTTTATGGGTTAGTGCAGAAAGGCGCACAGTAATAGATCATTTGTTGAATCTACCCGGACTGAAATGGTAAAATCGTTGGTTGTTATTTTGTTCATATAATATCGTACAACGTTTTTTTTTTAAATTCACTGAAACTGCCAAAAAACATGGGTACATTTTTTGTGACCATAAACCTGCGGGTGTATTATTTAAATGACATGAAGAAATAAAAATGTATTTTATTCGATGATTTTATTCCATTTACATATAGAAAGTGGCAAAAAAGTCGCTTATAGTACCTGTAACGTTTTAGTTACTCGTATACGAAAAAGTGATCCTGATGAAAGTTGCTGTTTTTTATTTTTTTATTTTTTAACTAAGCAGTTGAAAATACGTGGAAATTAAAACTACAAAAAATTCATAGTTGTCTCACTATAGAAGAAAAGAGGACGTTCTATTTGAAAAAACAAAGTTGTTTTGGATGGCAACCAAGCCAAAAATGACACAAGACATATTTTATACAGGTAGAAATATAGGGAATAATGTACTGAGCAACTTTCATCAAGGTCACTTTTCTGTATACGAGGTAATTGAAAAGTAACAGGTAACAGAGGTATTATGCGCTCTGTATAATGTACCATGTACCATCGTCACCAAAAGTAACTGGGACAGTATCATATTAGCTCTTGTACTATTATATGAATTTTATTGTCAAATATTTGTCAAACTATGAATTAAAAGCATTGAAATGAATGACGGAAGAATTAGTCCAGGAGATTATTCTGCAATATTTTTTTCCCAGAAACTTTTGGTGGCAATGATACCTAAAAGACTCTAGGATCCTATAACAGTGATATATTGTTATAGTGTGCACATGATGAGCAGTTTCCACATCCAGCACGTTTAAATGTAAAAATTACAGGGACACTCATTTTTTTTTTTTTAATAAGGGAAATAATTGTTATTTATAATATTAGTATGTAAAATTATACTGAGTGTAAAGATTGTTGCCTTCCCACCTCATACATAAATTGGAATAGGAATGTTCTAGAACAATAATTTTAATAATGATATTGTGTTTTAACTGAATTTACTACCGATCTACAAAATTTTAGCCTTATCATACCCACAGGAACCCAACCCAAATAAACATAAATTTTTTGAGAGATTGAGAATTCTGGTATAGTACTTATATTGAT